AGGCCGAAGAGAACGAGAGGGGCTGGCGCGCCTGGACGTGCATCGCCGTGGAAGCGGTAACCGCCATCGCGCTAAGCACGTGAGATGTCTCCCGGGTGCCTTCGAGGGGAGAGGGTCCTCCTCCTCCTCCTCCTCCTCCTGTTCCTCCTCCTCCTACTCGCAATCCTCGCCATCCCCTTCCTCTTCCCCCCGCCCCCTCCTCCTCCCTCTCCTCCTGTTTTTTCTCCACCTCCCCCCGCCTCCTCCTTCTTCTCCTGCTCCACCCCCCCCGCCGCCGCCGCCTCCTCCCTGTCCCCTTGCCCCGCCTCAGCCCCTCCTAATCGTCATCCTCCTCTGAGTCAATAGTATGAATATTCCCCGCTCGCCGCGCGGGTGCATCGTGCCCACAGACTGGAAAGCAACGCGGCATACGTTCGCGTGGTCCCACGTGTCTGGGTGGAAAGCCGACTCGTTTATCTTGACGTGGTCTCCAAGCCGAAGTTGCCGCCTCGAGCGGGGCGCGGAAAGCAGCTGGCGGGGGCGCGAAGGGGGCCAAGGGAAAGGGGAAGGAGAGCGCAGGGAAGACAAGGCGACGGGGAGGGCGGACGGACGGGGCGAATGATGAGGAGGAAATCGAAGCGGGGGAGGAAAGAAAATAAGGCGGCGATAGGGACGTGGAGGAGAAGGATGGCAAGGAGGGATAGCTAGAAAACGAGGAGGACGAGGAAGAAGAAAAGGAGGGCGAGGACATAAAAAAAGGATGATGGACCAGGAAGCTCACGCGAAAACGCGGGCGGGATCAATGGATGAAGGAGTAGGTCGGATGGCCAAGGTCAAGTCGGAAGAACAAGGGAAATTGGGAAAGGGAAGTCGAGGAGGAGGGGGGCCTATCCCAAGCATCAGCAAGCGACTCCACGCCAGCGTCCTCGAGGATGGCAGCGTACTGCTGGCGCCTCGTCCTGGAAGCGGAGCACGAGGAGGCAGGAGGAGGACGAGGAGGTGGAGGATGATGATGAGGAGGAGGAGGAGGAGGAGGAGGAGGAGGAGGAGGAGGACCAAAACAAGGAGGAGAAACAAATGGAGGAGGAGGAGGAGGGGGACGACGACGACGTCAAGGGGGGGGGTCACTGGCGACGACGACGACGACGACGACGGCGCCGAGGACGAGGACGCGGGAGCCGCGGCAAGTCCTGCTGGTGCCGCTGCCTTCAAGCGGCAGCGCATCCAGCTCCACCCATCCCGGACATCCCCCTGCGCCGCGTTCCGCGGCGCCACCCTCTGGAAAACTCCCCTCGGAGTCGGAGGGCAAATCCTCCATGAGCCTAAAAGGCTGCCCCCACCCCGGGGGCCCGCCTGGGGAGGAGGAGGAGGAGGAAGAGGAGGAGGAAGAAGTGGAGGAGAAGGCGGCGGAAGAGGAGGAGGATAATGAAACGGAATTGGAGGAGGAGGGGGAGGAGAAGAGGAGGAGGAGGAGGAGGAGGAAAAGCAGGAGGAGGAGGAGGAAGGGGGAACAGGAGGGGGAGGAGGCAGGTGGAGGCAGGAGGACTGGGGAGGAGGCAGGAGGAGGCAGGCAGGAGGAGGAGCAAGGAGGACGAGGAGGAGGAATAATCATGAGGAGGAGGAGGAGAAAGGAGGAGAAGGAGCAGGAGGATCAGCAGGAGCATCAGGTGGAGAGGAAGGAAGGCACCTGAGGTAGGAATAGGATGCGGATGGTCAGGGGGAGGAAGATGAGGAGGAGGAAAAGGAGGAGGAAAAAACAAAGATGGGGTGGGCCCGCGAACGCCCTCATCACGCCACGCTTCAAAGGAGCCGTCTGCCGTTCATCCTAGTCCTCCTCCTCCTCGTCCTCCTCCTCGTCCTCGTCCTCGTCCTCGTCCTCCTCCTCCTCCTCCTTGTCCTCCTCTCTCCCCTCCCCCTTGCATTCTATCGTTCGGGTGACAGGCGGAATGATTTTAAGCTGCAACATATATATATACATATATATATATATACATAGACACGTGAATGATACTCATTAATCATAATATCATAAGAATACATATCATGAATCACATAGTTATACCTGCATAGTCATTCAAAAATAAGGAAACTTGTTTGTTTTTCTTGTTTGTTTTGCTGTGACTTGTTTGCTTTAATTGCTTGCACATGTCCTGACGAGCGGTTTGAACCTGGCAGGATATATCCTTGTAGGCATCCACGAAGCTCCAGCATGCCTCCTAGACGCTCTATTGGAGACCTCCGAGCCAGAAACACTGAGTTTCCATCTTGTGTTTTAATGTTTCTCACGTTCAAAGGTTATTGGTCGAAGATCGGACCACTTGCGGTCTTCGAAGGCCCACAATGGCCCACTGAGGTCCCGAAGAGAACCACTGGGCGCCTCAGGACGGCCCAAAGATAGTCCCAAGCCGGCCCCACAGGGCCTCCAGAGGGAACACGCATGGCGCAACAGCTCTCCCGACCGCCCAGACAATGGCCAGACGACGGCCTCGAGCGGCCTCCCAGCTGGCCCAAGAGAGCCCCGAGATGGCCCCTGCGAGGGCCGAAGGGGGCCACGAGAAGCCCTCCTCCTCCTCCTCCGCCTCCTCCTCCTGATCCTCCTCCGCCTCCTCCTCCTCCTCCTCCGCCTCCTCCTTCTCCTCCGCCTCCTCCTCCTCAAGACTGCCCCACAAGGAGCCCGAGGGCGCTGCAGAGATGGCCCCCTCTGGGCGGTGCGTCGAGAGGTCGCCACGCGGAGGGCTCCTTGCTGGCACGGCGGCGGACCGTGCTGCCACGCCGGGCCACGGCAGGCTCGTGCCGCGGCGGCCCCTGCGCTGGGTTTATGACGGGGCCGGGCCCGAAGGCTGGTTCTCGGTGTGTTGTGGTGTCGGGTGTTTCGCCTTGCTCTGCGGTCGGGGCGGATTGGAGAGGGCACGCGAGGGGACACAAGGCTCTTCCGATGGCCACCTTGCCAGTGGAACGCAGAGGGCATGGGTCGCGAAACACAGGACGGAAGGGTGCCCTTGTTCGGGCAGGGTCGGCCTACACATAAAAGTCGGCTGTACCCGTCGTCCTGTACCTCCCTGCCAAAACGAAAAACAAGACACAGCCGAACAGTAAAACAGCGTTCAGGTCCAGCCCTGGTTGCCGACACCGCGTGGATCGTTCAGCCTGGAACGATCGGCGGCTTTTCGATCGCCAGATATTTCCATAGTGGCCGACTCCGGGCCGCTGGCGGCGATCAACCGTGAACGCCCGCGCTGGGGTCACCGCCGCGCGACGCGCACTTGCCGTGACACCCAGAAACCTCCGCACACCCTCCACTCCTGCTGCGGACAGGCAACGTTTATGGCCAGATCTGCTGCGCCTTGGACTCTCTGAGAAGCGGCGCCTCGGATTTCTATTGGGAAGGGCGGCCGAAACTCCAAGACGCAGTGGATGTGGATACGGGGAGGGCATCAGATAAGGAACCATTGGATAAGGAATCCAGGGTCTGTGGGAGCTGGTGGAACACCAATCGTGGATTGGCTATGGATCTCACTGCCGACCTCATCAAATAAGGATCCTCCAGGGTCTGAAGCCCGCTAGGCGAATTCCTTAACGACCGCCCCCACCGTACAAATCTTGGCCGCACATGAAGACCTCGATCGCTCGATGCCGCGGGCGGACGGACGGCTGGGGCGCGGGAACAGGCCGGCGCACTCCCAGATCTGGCTCTGGACGAGGGCCAGCTCGTCGCCGCTGGCCCTGTCGTGCGGCAGGGCGACGGACGATGACTTTGCCGTCGTCGTCGGTGTCCCCGTCGCCTGTTTTGACAATGTTCTCGGTTGTCTTCGGGGTTCTCGGAAGGTCTCGAAGGTTTCTCTCCCCCGAAGTTCCTAGAGGTTCCCCGAAGTCGTCGTCATCCGCCATCGTCGTCGTCGTCGTCGTCGTCGTCGTCGCCAAAAGCATTCAAAAATCGGGCGGATGTTGAGTTCTCAATTGTGGCCTCCATGGGCCCGTTTCGGTCACCCCGACCGTGAGAAATTGATCCAGGATGAAAATCTGGCGAGGATGGATCTTGGAAGGGGTCCGAGGGCTGGTCTTGGATGGACTTTCGGAGGATCGAGGCTCGAGGACAGTCGTCGCCGTCGTCGAGGAGGGAAGGAGCTTGACCCGTCTCGAAATCCTGATCGCAGCGCGCTCTTGGAAAGGTCCAGGGCCAACAATCTTGAAATCTGGGGACCAATCTTGACAATCTGGGGACTAACCTTGAACTCTTGAAATCTGGGGACCAATCTTGACCAATCTGGGGACTAATCTTGACCAATCTTGAAATCTTGTAACCTGGGGACTAATCTTAAAATGTGGGGACAAACCTTGACCAATCTTGACATCTGGGAACCAATCTTGACAAGACGACGACGGCGCCGAACGAAGGTCGACTCAAGGAGGATCCGTCCTCCAGGGCTTCGGCGTTGTTCATGTTGGGAGAGGGCTCCACGGAGACACTTGTCGCAACGGCTGGATCCACCTCGAAATCAAAGCGCCCCACGACAGGTCAATTGGCAACTGGGCCGATGCTTGGGGGTGGCGGCCATGTTCCGCAGACGACAAGACATGATCTCTCCTCGAAAACATTCCGACCAGGATTTCGAGGCGGGTTCATCCATGGCGGCGAGGGCCTCCCTGGAGGCCCAACGAGGACGACGAACGACGACGATGACGAACGACAACGACGACGAAATGCCACTGCCCTGACGAACGACGAACAACGGCGACGAGGGACGGCGATCATGAACGAAGAACAGCGAACAATGAACGACAACGATGGCGACAACGACGAGGGCGGCTGCCAACGACGGCCCACGACCAACGACGCGAAACGACGACGCCGATCGACGACGACAACTGGCGGCGGCGACGACGAAGGAGACGACTCGAAATCAGCACCTGGACCTCTCCCAGATCTTGCCGGCAAGAGTCTCGAGGAGACTCTGGCCGTGGCGCGGAGGCTCCCCAGGAGCACCAGCACTAGAGCGAGAAAGAGCGAGCGAGCGAGCGAGAGAAAGAGGTGTGAATGTGTATATATCGGCGGTGGACAAACCTCCCTTTAGTAAACCTCCCCTTAGTGGAAAAACGCCTGGGACCGAAACCGACGGACCTGGACCCGCAAAAACGACGGCCGCGACGCCCCCTCGCGAATCGAAAACGGCCACTTCCTTAATCGGCGTGTCAGGGTAGGAGGTCTGTCCACCCCCGAATATATACAGATATGACACCAGAGAAAGACACAATCATTGGACGGTTTGAACATTCTATCGAGATCGGTTGTGAGAACGACAGTGGGATCGATGGTGGGATTTGTACTGAGGACGATGGTGAGGTCGATCGTGATACCGATAGTGGAGTCGATTCAGGGAGATCGATAATGAGAACGATCGTGAGACCGCTCGTGCGATCGATGATGACGTCGATGTGGGATCGATCGTGAAATCGATAGAGAGGTGGGTAGTGAGATCGATGGTGAGACTGGTCGAAAAAGAGTTCGACAAGGAACCAAGCCAAGGAACCCGGGAACCACGCCGCCCGCTGAGATCGGCCGGGAACCGGCAACCAGGAACCCTGGAGCCCGGCCGCCCACCGAACTGGGGCGGAAACTTCCGCCAGAACGTTCAACATCCGCTAGGACGCCGTCAGCGCAAGCACTGAGTGGAGAATCTATGTATACATATATATATATATATGTATACATGCGTATATTTATATGTATATATATATATGTATATATATATATATATCAGAGTGAGGGGGCTGAACCGAACGGTCATTCACTGTCCCTGGGTGCGTGGCAAAAATTGAATTCCGCGATGCGGATTTTTGTTATTGTCTTTTTTTTTCTTTGTTGTTTGCTGTTGTCGTCGTCCCACCCGCGACCCGCCCCGCGACCCACCCCGCGACCCACGCCGCGACCCACGCCGCGACCCACCCGCGACCCACCCCGCGACCCACCCGCGACCCACCCCCGACCCGCCCGCGACCCACCCCGAGACCCCCCCGCGACCCACCCGCACCCACCCCGCGACCCACCCCGCGACCCACCCGCGACCCACCCCGCGACCCACCCGCGACCAACCCGCGACCCACCGCGACCCACCCGCGACCCACCCCGCGACCCACCCAAATTTTTCGGCGCCTGCGGCGGGTTTCTTTTGCATTCGTTCCAGGTGGAGAACCTGCGACCCACCCGCGACCCAAACCGCGCCCGCGACCCACCCGCGACCCACCGCGACCCACCCGCGACCCACCCCGCGACCCACCCAAAATTTTCGGCGCCTGCGGCGGGTTTCTTTTGCATTCGTTCCAGGTGGAGAATCTGCGACCCACCCGCGACCCAAACCGCGTCCAATGTACAAATCCAAATTTTCGGCGCCTGCGGCGGGCTGTTTTTGAATTCCTTCCAAGTGGAGGTGGAGAGCCCGCAACCCACCCGCGACCCAAACTACGTTCACTGAACGAGCCCGCGACCCACCCCTCGGGCGCGCGCGCGCTCCGCGGAGGAGGGGAGGAGGAGCAGGGCGAGGAGCAGGAGGAGGAAGACGACGACGACGACGAGTACGAGGACGAAGAGGAGGCCGACGACGAGGACGAGGAGGAAAAGGAGGGGGGGACGGAGGGGGACGACGAGAAAGGAGGGAGGAGGAGGGGGAGGAGGAGGAGGAGGAGGACGACGACCGAAAGGAGGGGGGAGGATCGGGATGGGGAGGAAGAGGAGGAGGAGGAGGAAGAAAAGGAGGAAGAGGAGGAGGGGGTGGAGGAGGAGGAGGAGGAGGAGGAGGAGGCGGACGACGACGACGACGACGACGATGACGACGACGATGAGGACGATGTCGCGGACGAGAATGAGGAGGAGGAGCAGGAGGAGGGCGCCATCGACAAGGAAGGTGAGGGCCACGAGGTCCGCCGGCTCGACGCCCGCGTCGCCCGCGCCCGCCCCCTCACTCTTATCCGCAATTGCCGGGTGCTACGTATACGTGTATATCTAGATATACATACATATGTGAAAAGAAAGAGAGGGAGAGAGAGAGAGAGAGAGACAGAGAGAGAGAAAGAGAGAAACAACAAAAAAAATACCCACGGGTGAAAAGGGTCCTGAGGGAAACAGGTACTGAACCTTGGGGCCTCCCCGAAGACGAGGTCCGCCGACACCTTGGGGTCATCGGCGTGTGAGATGCCGCCCCCTCCCCGAACCCCTCCCTGTGGGGCCCGGTCTGGTCGGTTTGGAGGGGGGGGGAGTCCAACTGGCCACAGCTGAACGCGTCACGGGCCTCACGATGGGCCATGAGGTCCCCAAGAGGCCCACAAGATGGTCCAAGAGGGCCCCGAATCGCCGATGGATCGTTCCAAGACGCCCAAGATGGCCCCCAGCCGGCCCAAGAGGCCCCCGAGACGCCCCAAGAGGCCCCCACGAGGCGTCCCAAGAGGGCCCCCAAAAGCAAAAATCGTCCCATCCCCTGAGGTAGACGTATGATTTTAACACATTCGCCTCTTGAGCTTTCACATCGTCCAAGACTGCCCAAGCGGCCTCCAAGATCGCCCCAAGACGGCCCAGGAAGCCGCCAAGAAGGCTCCAAGACGGCCAAAAAGACCCTCAAGATGGCTCCAGGAGGGGACCCAGGCGGGGGACCCGAACGGAAATTTCGAGCCCTACCAAGAAGCCCCCAAGAGGCTCCAAGAGGCCCACCAGAGGCCCAAAAGAGGCCCCGAAACGGCCCCCAGAAGGCCTCAGAAGTGCTGCCAGGAGGCCCCCGAGAGACCTACCAGGAGCCCCCCCAAGGGGTCGGCGGTGCGGCGTAAGCCCAAGAATCTTCATCCCGAAACGTTCTCTGACAGTCTCGGGAATCGTGGAGGGCCCTGGGAAACCAAACACGGGGAAAAACCTCAGGCCCCGTTTCCCTCAAGACCCGTTCACCCCATGACGAAGAGAGATAGAAAGAGAGAGAGAGAGAGGGAAAGAGAGAGAGAAAGAGAGAGAGAGAGAAACAAACACATATCAAGGACAAGTACGGCAAGTTCGTGTCGTGACGACCTGGGAGTTGGTTCCTGACACCGAGGGGATCGTTCAACCTTGAACGATCGGCCGTTCCCGACAGATCGTTCACTATCGACCGATCCTGAATAATCGGCGGCGGTCAACGTTGAACGCCAGCGGCGGGGTCGCCACCAATAGACACGACGCGAACCTACCATAACGGATTCACCACGACGACGACGTCGGCAGAGGCCTCCAGAGGTCCCCAAATTTATGTCGGGCGTGTCCCCTACAGGGGGATTTTCAACGGAAAAAAAAACCCAAATACTTCACAAAGGTCAAAAAATACTCAAACAATAGTCCCCAGACTATTTTTGGACTATCTTTGGACTATTGTTGGGGTATTCCTCATTTTCGTCGAAAATCACCCTGTAGGGGGACAGGCCCGCCTTAACCCCAGGTCCCTGGACGAGGCCTCGCCCGGCCTCCGAAGGCCGCCTGGAGGCCTCCAAGGTCGCCGACGCGAGGGCGCGAGGACGGTGACAAGACGACGACGAGGACAAGTGGGAGGTGCCAAGCCCTCCTCCTCCTCTCCTCCTCCACCTCCTCCTCCTCCTCTTCCTGCTCCTCGCCCTCCTCCTCCACCCTTTCTACTTCTCCTCCTCCTCCTCGTCCTCCTGCTCCTCCCCCTCCTTCTACTCCTCCCTCTCCTCCTCCTCCTCCTCCTCCTCCTCCTCCTCCTCCTCCTCCTCCTCCTCCTCCTCCTCCTCCTCTTCCTCCTCCTCCTCCTCCTCCTCGCCCATTTGCCAGGGGGGGGAAAATGACAAGGAGACCGCCTCAGAACGCTCGGAAGTCCCCCAGCCTTCTGAGACGCTTTTTAAGCCTTCAACGAAGACACAGAAACAAAGATCTCAGGAGGAGCGAGGGCTTCTGCGAGGCCCGGCCGCCTTCTGAGAAGGCTCCCTCCTTCTAATTTACCCCTCTCGCTCGCCGCCAAATCGTGACGGCGTTGGCGACAACGACGACCACGACGGCGGCAGCTACGAGACGACGGCGACGGCGACGGCGACTGCGTCCGCGGCGGCGACGACGACGGCGGCGAGAGGTAAGGGCGCCTGCTGACGGCGAAGCACAGCAACTTGGCCTCGCCCTTCTTGGCGCCGACCTGCCGGCCGGGGGGCACCACGGGGGGAGCATCCCCCCCGAGGGGCGGAGAGAGCGCCGCTCGCAGTCGACGAGCCCAGCAGCCTCCAGCCACTGGAGCTGGAAGCCGCTCTGTGGCTCTGACCTTACACACCCCAGGTGGCCACATGCTGCCCGCCCGCAGCTCCGACCCAGGCACCTGGGGCAGAGCTGACCACGGCAGCACCTTTGGAATGCAGCAGGCAGGGCGGGAGGAAGTGGGGAGGGGGGGCATGGGCAGAGGAATTTTGCACGCGAAGCGAAGCTCCGTCCCTCCCTCCTCCCTCTTCCTCCCCCTCATCCCCTCCTCTCCTCCTCCTCCTTCTGTTCCTCCTCCTCCTCCTCCTCCTGTTCCTCCTCCTCCTCCTCCTCCTCCTTCTCCTCCTCCTCCTCTTCCTCGTCTCCTCCTTTTCCTCCTCCTCCTCCTCCTTCTCCGCCTCCACCTCATCCCTCCTCCTCCTTCCCCTCCTCCTCGGATTCGCATAACGTGACGGGTCAGAATTGCCGAAGGCAGGGACGGAGACTGGAACTGTCTACGCACATGGCAGATCCAGCGGATCTGCAATGCTGGCGCCAGACACGCGGTGCAAAAATCTCGCGCGACCCTTGAGACGCCTTCGCGCGTCCGGTCGCTGCCCCCGTCTTGCTCAGGGCCTTTGGCTGGAGCCTGGCAGAAGGGCGAGGAGGGGATGCAGCCCTGCCTCCCTCCCACCACCGGCCAGCCCCCGGGTCTGTGACTGGGCTCTTTGTCCCCCCGGGGAGGGCCAGCGAGGGACTCTGCACTTGATGCCCACCATCAGCCGCGCTGTGGCTGCAAGCATGGTTGTCTCGGCCCGGCGTGCACCCGGAGGCACAAACGGCCGTGCCTGCAGTGCAGAAGCAGGGAGGGCGGGGGGAAGGAGCGAGAGGGGGGTAGGGATGAGGAGGGGGAGGCGGTGGTGGAGAAGGAGGTGTCGCCGAAATCTGCTATCTCTTATTAATTACCAGCTTATTGTTGGAAAGTAGCAGATAGGAGCCCATTGGTAATTCAAGGTTATTCTTATGGTGTTCCCAAAGTTATCTTGAAAGTGTTTTGTAGAAGAAGAATACGATCAGTTTAAAAATAGTTTTAAGCTTAATGGGCATTATCTTAATGTTTTTTTGGTTTACACGTGTTGGAACTATATGTGTCTTTGAACTATTTTATTTGTTTGTAAAGGCTAACTGTCAATCGTGCTGTCAGCATAAGGTTGACATCTAATAACCAAGAGGAAGTCGTATACTATGAATTGTTATATTCGTTATCACATCATCAGTTTACTCAACAGGAAGCGTCCTCATACTTTTCTTATAAGAGAAATGAATTCGGATGTTAATATTATTTTCGCCAGATAACTTTTTCAAACATCTATTAGTTTTGGTGAATCAGAATCCAACATTAATAACGCGCTGTCTTTATATAAAAAAATGAAATTAAAAATAAAGGTCTCTAGAATATGGGTTCCTGTAGGTATGAGCCTGAAGTTGTTCTTGAATCCCATACACCACCTTTGATATAACATGAATTCAATGATCATTGTGGGACATATCATTAACGTGTTATCACATTATTGTTTCTTAACCTGTTCTACTTCATGGGATTATATTACTAGCAGTTTGCAAGAAGTCCATTTACAAGCTTACCACTATTTCCAAGCATTTACATTATTAAACATTTCTCCTTCGCAATAAATGATTGTCTTCTAAAAGGTATGCTGTCGGCTGGAGAATATATGTGGTGTTAGAAGCTAATTCCTGGCGCACACATGAGTTCCATTCCCAAATGTTAGCCCAAAGGTGTGTAGCCGAAGGCTTGGGTTGGAAGCTAATGCCTCTGAAAAAAACTAATCCTGTAAAGAAAACTGTTATTATATGTAATACACATGCTTAGTTCTTCTTTGATTATGATTCATTATGTTTTAACTTTTCATAAGCTTCAAAAGGCCCATTCTCATACCCAAATGAGGAGGAGGAGGAGGAGGAGGAGGAGGAGGAGGAGGACGAGGAGGAGGAGGACGACGGGGAGGAGGAGGAGGCGGAGGAGGAGGAGGTGGGGAGCAGGTGAGCGCTACGGGTTAAAAACTCCCACCCTCGGCCGCTCAGGCGAACGGAGCGGCGCGCCCTGCGGCGCGGCGCGCTGCAACTCGCAAGGAGCGCAGGGCGGGGCGGGAAGCAGCAAGGCGGTGGGAATCACGTGCCGCGGCGGCCCGCCCGAGCGATTGCGGCGCGGCGGCCCCGCCGCGGCGGCGGGCAACGCCCGCGCTGGCGGGCCCGTGGCAGGGCGCCAGCAGCTCCCCGCGCCAACGCCGCGAAATCGGCGGCGGCGCAGAGTCCCGCAACCACGGCGGCTAAACCCGCGGCCTCCTTCTCCTCACCTCGTCGCTGCCGCGCGGCCTGCTGGGCGCCGAAGCAGAACGAGGGCGGCCAGTCCTCGGCTCGCGCGCGGCCGACGGGGCGGCGCGTGGGGGCGACCGCCGCCTCCGAAGCCGCGGGGGCACTTGCCCCGTCTCCCCTGGGGGCCCGCTCTGCGTGCCTCCCCCAGCCCCTCGTCGACGGGAGGCGGCGGTCCCTCCTCGGGGCCGCCGGCCCGCAGGGTCGCGTCTCCAGGCCCCTCCATCGCCGCTGCGGGGTCTCAGGGCCCGCGAGCCGCGGGGCGGCGAGGCGCGGCGTGGGCTGCGCGCCTTCATCTCGCCAGCCGCCTCCATTGTGGCCAAGCCGTCCTCGGCGCGCTTGCGGCGTCGCGGCGGTGGGTAACTGGCGGGGCATTGCCCTCGCGCCCGCGGCGCAGTTGGCGGGCCCGGTGCAAATTGCCTGGAACGGTGCCCTGGCGCGCGCGGGCGCGCGGCCATCGGTCCGCAACGGTTTCCGCGGCTGCGCGCAGCGTCCGAGGATCGCGGTCGGCAGCCGCTTCGGGGCCAGGGCGCAAGGGCCGCGGACTGCGGCACCGCCCGGTGGCCCCCAAGCCCTCGTCGCCGAAGGGGCCTGGAAACGTCGCGCGGAACAGCCTCGAAGGGAGCGAAGAAGAGCGGGCGCCGCGCGCCCGTGCCAACGTTCCCCAGATCATCGCCGCGTTTGCGTCTCGCCATCGGCGCGCCAGCCCAGGCCGAGGGAAGACGAGGACGACGCGTGGCGGTGCGGGCCTACCGGCTGGGACCGCGAGCTCGATCCTCGGCGCGAGCATCTGCGCCGCGCACCGACCCCTCTGGGCCACCTGCCTCAAGGGGGGCCCGCCTCGCCTGGGCCGCCTGCAACGGGCGGGGCGGGCGCCGCGGCCGCGGGGGCTCGCGTCGGCCACCTTCCGCGCGCGAGCTCGGGGGGGGCAGCGAGGGGCCGCCGCGTCGCGGCCGCCCGCCTTAGGCGGGGCGGGGCGGCCCGCGGCCTCGGGAGCTCGCGCCGGGCGCCTCTGCGCTGCGCGAACTCGGGGGGGCGGCGAGCTGGGGGCGCGGCCAGGTCGGCGCGGCGCCCGTCATCGAAGTCGGCCTGCAGGTGCGCCGGCGTCTGTCGCGCGCTCGCCTTGGGCAACAGCCCGCGAGACGTGCGAGCCAACTGGCGCGGCTCCGAGCCCGGCGGGGCGCCGCTGCACTTCGCGAGAACAAAAAACGCCTGCCCAGCGCCCGAGGGGCCGGGGCAGCGAAGCGCCCCAGGCCGAGCATAATAACGCATCCATGCCGCGTTGCTCCAGGAGCGCTGCGCGTTGCAGGTTGTGTATATGTAAGCGTATATGGTACGCAGCCGCGCGTGACCACTGTGCAATTCTGATCGCATCTACCACATCTGAGAACAGCCCAAACATTTAAGCCGGGCAGCTCGCATGTGCAATCTGCGGTCATTATACACTTTCTCGAAGCAGATTGCGGCCGCGATCTTGCATGTGCACAGCTGACATGTAGCAAGCGTATAAGAACTACCACTTGGGTTATAACGCACTTGCACCGCTTTCTGCGGACTTTTTCGCCGCCGCGTTGAAACTTGCCCGAAGCGCGCGCGGTCGACCTACTTATGATTTGCCCGGGAGGCGCGAGACCAAACGGGTGGTTCGAAAGCTGAGAACACTAGAATTGACAATATCGGGGCCGAACGTCCACGCGCGACCGCCCCGCGCTAATCCTTGGACCGCGCGCGGCGTCGACAATCGGCGCGCGCGTGCACGGGGGGAATGGGGCAAGCGACGGGGCGCGGGCCGTCTTGGAGGGCGGGGGCGGACCTGGCCTGAGGCGCGCCCAGTCAGCATTCCGCGACGGAACCAGCCGCGGCGATTGCGACGCCCTCCTTTTTTGTTTCATCTCTTTTATAATATATATATATATATATATATATATATATATATAAAGATATACCAAAAAACACCCGCCCCCCCACTCTGCGCCTCGGCCCCCCATTTTGGCCCAGGGCCTGTTCGATGCAGCCGCGTTCTATTGCGCTGGGCCAACGCGCGTTTCAATCCAGACTCCGCGCCCAGCAAGCGGCGCAAACAATTTCTCGGCGCACGGGGCCGATGACGGCGCGGAGCCAGAGCGGCCGCCGAAGAAAAAAACAACACAAAAAACAAACCAACGGCAGAGAGGGGGCCAGAGGAAGGGCTGGGGCGATTCGCGCGATGGTCAAAGTTCGGCTGCCAGCGGCGCATTTACGAGTTAGCCTGGGGTGGCGGCGCGCGCTGCATGCGCAAAGAGAGAACGACAGTCGTCTCAAACAAAAGACAAGGATGCCAACAGAGGCGCAAGGCATCGGCTTCGACGATAAACAACCTCGACGAGCCACCATCTTCTCATCCGATCAAAGAAATAAGACATCAAGCGATGGCGATAGCAGTCGCAGCAGGTAATAATTTAGTGAGTCACCGTGGCATCGACGGATGTTGGAACACAGAGGCGCAGGACGTCGCTAAAATGCAGCGTTTGAATTCAAAGCGGCGAGTGAAACCAACGAAATAACTGATGTTGTCGCATGCGTGGCGTCGCGACCGTTTGGACATGTAGCTCACCGTGCATGACAGTCATTCGACATAATCACGCATGGACGCAGTCGATGAAAGAGTTCTGCGAAGAACACGAGTTGGACATGGAATGACATATTATGCGCCTTGACTGCGCGCGCGTTGCGCCATGTCTGCGTCGCGCTTGTATTCGCTATCCACGCAATTTTGCACATCGTAGATTTATCGACTCGTGGCGAGTTTGTCTACTCCAGTCCGCGCGTGGCGCGTCGTCTCATTGATGCGGCGCGCAATTTGCGCGTTCTCTGGGGGGTCTCTTGAGGCCCCCATCACGGGAACTCCTGACATTCGCTGTTCAAGGGCGCGCGTGAGGTGCTCAGAAATTTCGGAACACTCGGATTCAGGTCTCGAAGCCCGTTCGCAGGCCCGCTTGGGAATTCCTCCTGACGCGGCTGCTTTCGCGCGACACTTTGGCGCGCGAACGCTGGTCGCGCGCGGCTAGATGGAGCCCGGGGCAACCCTCAGAAACGAAGAGGGCCCCAGAGAGGACCGGGAAGGGCGCGGCCACGAGAACGAGAAGGGCGCCCTCTGGGGGACTTGGCGAAAACTTTGGAAGCCCCTCAAGACGGCCCTAGAAGGCCCCAGGGAGCATGACTCGAATCGGGTTTTTGTCCGGTATACACTGATATAGAAGTTGTCGGAGACAGCAATGTCGGCGAGATTCCCGCGCGGGCTGGCGGGTCGAAGTCCGCCGGGGGGCGCGGGGCGCAGATCGCGAGGAAACAGGCAGCCACCGCGCATGACATTCAAATGGGCAAGGAAGAATATTTGGAGGAAACGGTGGCGGGGGGCAGAAAAATGCAGGGCGCGCGCAATTGCGCGCGCCGGGCAGGGCTCG